GTCATCGCAACTCGACAGATCACCACGAATTGTTCCGTTGATATGGAAGCTTTGGATCATCCAAATGCACCGAAACAGCGATACGGTCGTGTTCAAACGAGAGCGATTATACCACGTTAGTGAACATATTTCCGGTGTTTCTTCGTAAATAATTTTTTAAAATTACCTTGTAATGGTACAGCTTTTTTCTGGTTGCCCCAACAGACTCGTGCAATGCTGCGCAGACTGGCGTTCAAATGCCATCGGAATTCGGCTACCCACATGTGACGCTCATATCGTATAGTAGACTGATGAAATACATCAATAAAATATGAATAAATGTATTAAAATATAACAGGCACATTGATGTGGGCCAGTAGCTCTGTGTGCTTGTAAGATGGTGTCAGGTCTGGTTGTGTGTGTGTGTGTGTTGGCTCGCCGGTTGTTGTAAAGGTACTTGGTTTTCACGGGAACAATCGATTGAATTTTTACACAGGCGAGAACAAGAAAGAAAACTTTGAAAAACATTAATTAGTCAACGTAGTGTGTGTAGAATTAAGTGACAAAGGAGGGGTGAACGGGTGATGACAGGGACTGGAGGAAAAACCAACGAATCGGAATCATGAAGACCCGTACATCAGTTACCGTATATGAGAGAATGGAAGAAATCAACAACGATTGAGAAGAACACAAGGGAAAAACCAGTACGGATCCGCCTCATAACAGAGGAGCGACTGATTATTGACATGGATGATACGCCCAGTCAAACGGGCCAGTGTCCACACCCACGAGAGTAACCGCATGAATATCCAGAGGAAGCACAGTTTTGATGGGTGTGGGTGACGACAGCCAAACAGTGGGATGTGGATGAAAGAACACACGTCGATTGTGCAAACTGCACATGAACGATTGAGAATCGGAGAAAGGTAAACAAACGAACGGCGTGTTTTAAGGGAATCACTCGATCAGCCGACCAATCTGGTGATAAATCAACTGATCAATCTGAACGAAGCACAAGTGTCCGACGAACAGACAAAGTACGCTTATTCGAATCACGCTGGGCTTCACAGCCTCGGTGGAAGAGATCAAGATGAGCGTGTAATCAAAAAACTACTAGAACGCTGAGGATGATGTGGATAATGTTTTCGCTATTTACTAGGTTTGTGTGATCCAGGAATTAGGAGTGAACAAAGCATCTAGAAAAGCAATGAATCCAGAATGGGAACCATGCGTATGCATGATGAGTCAATGAATCATGATATTATTCTAGTTTGTAGGATGAGTTCAGGAGCATATGTTTACAAAAACCAGCTACTCAGGCTGTTCGGACACTGGCAGAAAGCGAGGAGTAACAAGGACCAAGTAACCATCTTTGAATCACGGTAAATTGCATGAAGGAGACTCAGAGTGAGAAACAGCATGGGGTAGGAGATGAAAGAAGAGTCGAATTTGTCGGAGAACACACACACAAACAGAGAAAAACCAGGGTATATAAGAAAACCGCATCTTAAGGGCAACTTAACATCTGAATGGAGACCAGCATTCGTTTCGGGATCGAAACTGTAGTAATAAATAGCAGCGATTGGAAGATGCAGTACTGGTACTAGTAATAATATTGCTGTACAGTGGTAGAAAAAAGCGAATTTACAGAGCATGGGAACGCACAAAGTGTGACCCAATGGGAGGGGAAAAAAGAATTGAATCTGGACATTATCCCCATCTTAAACGATTGAGATTTAGGTGGGCTGGTGGTAGAAGAGGTACAAAGGTTTACCAACAATCCAGCTGAAGGCTGTTATGAATACAGAGAAAATTGTCCAAGTCCTCCGATGCACGGAAATGGTGGAAATATCGAGTTGAAAACTTTATTGGTTCTTGCTGAAAATCACAGGAAGGTGTAAACCTGGTTTACCCAGTAGGGGAAGGATTTCTGGGAAAGCAACACGGAAAAGATAAGGTTGGATTCAGGGAAGAGGGTAGGGATAGTGGAGGTGCGTGTAACCTCAGAAGACGATGATGAACTGGATATGAGTAGGCGCTTATGTCTGCGGAATGAGCATCAGTTTATAGCGGTATAACCCAGCCCGGTGAATGGGTAGGGGAATACAGACCTCGGCACAGAAAACGGGATAAAGTACAAACGAAATCAAACCAAACGGAACCAGATCGATGAGATCAGAACGGAACGGATGGATGACTCAAGGCGATGAAGGACGACCGAAAGAAGGTTACCGATCAACGTCCCAGTCTCGGTTGTTTGTTCGGTTTGAGGATCGCAGACCGACTAGACAGGTCAGAAGTGGAAGTTGTAGGTGATGTGGATGAAGAGTCGGTGGAAGACGATGAAGTTGAGCTACTACTCAAGCTGCTGACATCTGTTGAAGAACTGGAGACGGAAGACATAGAGGCTGTGTTGCGTTGACGACGTGGTCGTACCGAAGTTCCAGAACCAGTGGATGCGGTCGAGGCGACAGTAGAAACCAATGGAGTATTTTTTGAGTTAAATGTAGCGTTTGTATTGTCATTTCTTTTCTCGGTACGATTTGTACTTGTTTCAGACCAGTTCGTCCGTTTGGATCGTTCTGATGTTAAATTTCGTGCAGCAAGTTGATCGCCGTCCGATTCGGAAGACAGCGACGAGGAATCAGAAAGTCGACTGATCTGTAGGCATTTATCGAAACAGTAAGCAGGTGCATCAAAATCGTTGATAACAGCAACTGGGGAATTATGGCAGAGATTTTCACACACCAAAAGGATGCAATACGCAGGATACTTGCGTCTAGGTAATTGGGTTATATGCTGAACGAACGTGACACAACAATCGAAAAGGCCTCAACAAGATGAAATTTAAAAAAAAGTCACTGATAACAGCAATGAGTATTATTAGCGATTTGCCCGACGTGCTGAGGCTTCGGACGTAATGGTTGCACATAACATGCGTAACCATTAACAAAATCCTGAAATTGCGTCAATTACCTGAACCAGTTATGCAAGACTTTCGAATTGTTATTACTTGAAAAGATCAGTGTTTGCGGTGAGCTCGGACGTTCCATAAAGATAAGCCTTTGGTAAAAAATCGGTGGTCTCGAAGATTAAGTAAATTCACGATTCTTTGCAATTTTATTTCCAAAAGAATGATT